GCCCAGAGGCCGGTAGAGCTGCGGGATTACCCTAATCCCCGAGTGCCAGCACCCTCCTGGCAGTGAGGGCAGCCGGGGGAGGGCGGCCGGGCGTACACCCCTCACCCAGGGACACGGTAGGGTGGATGGGGCGCTGCTCCCGCGAAGGGCCGTGCCACGGAGGGAGGAGACAGTTTGGTCCATGAGCAGAGAATCCCGGGATGTTGCGATGTAGAGGTGATAAGGGATAGGGAGTAGGGGACCCCGGCGTGTTCAGCCTGAGTGGACTGGTGCTGCTGCCTGGCTGAACGTTCCGCACCGCCTTTGCTCCATCCGGAAGAGACGTATCCAGTGGGATGGGTCCTGGGCCAAAGGGCATGACTGCATTTCACTGCTGCTTTCTCTCGCAGCTGGGCTTCAACATCCGCGGAGGAAAAGCATCACAGCTGGGAATCTTCATCTCTAAGGTGTGTCTGTCCTCCTGCCATTCGCTCCCTGCGTTCTGTCTGTTCCCTCGGGTGTTGCCGAGCCAGTCGGGTGTGCAGGATGACTGCCATGTGCTGTACACGCGCCTCTGACCTCGCAGCTGTAATTTGCCGTGCACCAAGCAGCAGTCGGACTGTCCTGTGCAGTTCCTGATCTCTCCCTAGCCCACGGAGTGTTAGTGGTGCATTGCCGTCCCCCCTCCCCGGTCCCGTGGGAACGCACAGGGTGGGCACCGTGGGGAGGCTCTGGGGCTGGGCTGTTGTGGGTGTGCGGGAGGGGAGCCGCTGTGCTGGCTGTGCGGAGAGTCACTGCTGCTCTCTCTGCTCGGCCCTTGGCAGGTGATCCCTGACTCGGATGCACACAGAGCTGGGCTGCAGGAAGGGGACCAGGTGCTCTCGGTGAATGATGTGGATTTCCAGGACATTGAGCACAGCAAGGTGAGGACTCTTGCGGCCCCACTGCTGGAGCAGGGACAGGATGGGGAGTCCGTGCACGCACCATCTCCTTCTGGCCTCTCAGCCAGCTCAGCTGGTGGCACCACATAACCTCTTTCCTATCCTCCAGCCCTATCTGGTCACTGAGCACTCTTTCTGCTTTCAGGCTGTGGAGATCCTGAAGACAGCCAGGGAAATCACCATGCGTGTGCGTTACTTCCCTTACAGTAAGTGCCTGTTAGCTCCCAGTCCAGTCACCCAGCAGTGTTTCTCCTTGGGAAGCAGACAGCCACCCGTCCCTGCCGATCCCAGCTGAGATGAGCCGTTACGAGTCTGAGGCCATGGACGGAGTTAAGCTGCTGATCAGAAAGAACATCAGGCTTTGATCTGGGGACAGCTGCTGAGTCAAAGCAGTACGGACTGGCTTCGGCTGCCCACGTAGAAAAACTTACAGCGCAGGGCTTAGCAACAGAGTGGTAAAAGGTGGGACGATTGTTGACTGGAATTGTTAACTCCAGAGATGGAGAAGCAGCTTCTCCTTGAATAACACAGGAATCAGTTCTGTAACTAGTGGACCTGTGCCAGTGGCGGACGCTGCTTGTAGTTTTTATCCCTCCCTAAGAGTGTTTAAATTCTGAATGAGGGAAAAGACTATTAACTCTGTTTCTGCACTCGTAAAGCTCATAGATAGGAGGGTGGAAAACCAGGTCAAGTCACGCCAAACAAGGCTTCCACATAAAATGGAAACTGATCCTTATGTGAAAAAAGAAGAAAAATAGGGAGCAGGGGAATAAGGGGCTTTAAACAATCCCTCTTGTTTACAAGTTACAAGGGCTTTAAACAAGTTGTCATTTTTCTGAATGCCCTGAAATAACTTTCAATGACTGGTTGGGCTGCAAACGTGTTATTTTCAAGCCAGCTGCTACCCAAGAGGGCAGCAAACACTGCCTCCACCCAGTGAGGTATAAACAGACTGTACGTTTTCCTGTGACATTTCGGCTAATTCCCCTCGCCGGCAGTGACTGCCGCTCCTGCCCTTTCAGCCTTGCCTTCTCCTTCCCCTTCCAGATTACCAGAGACAGAAGGAAAGAACTGTTCACTAGTGGGCAGCTGTCTGCTGGCTCTCCGGAGTGGCTGTCCTGCAAGAAACTCTTCACTCCTCAACATCTGACACGACACACCAAGCTTCAGCGGTCACTGGAGGCACAACTGTCCTGTTGGCTGCACAGGCATCAGCTCTGCCTCCTGCGTGGAGGGATGCCAAGAGCCTTATTTAGCTGGAAGACGGATGGGGCTTTAGTCTGTACTCCTTGGACGGGGTGTTGAAACAAGCGGACATGGAAGCAGGTTCTGGAGGGCAGCTTCTCCGGCAAGATCTGTGCTTCTGTCCTAGCGGGACTTGACTTTGAGGGAGTGCTCTGCTGGTGGTTGTTGGGATGTAAGGCCAGGGGGGTCTGAGCCTGCTTGAGCAGAGCATGGCCTTTGTCCTCCAAGAGATAACCTGTTCACTTCTCTGGTGACGCGAAATTCTTTCCTTCGCCACTGTCCTACCTCTGCTATACACTACTGGGTTTGCTTGGGACTCGAGGAACAGGAGTAAAATCCACTCACACTCAGTGCACATCTCTAGCTGCACCAGTCTGCTGAGGCATCTTTGTTCCTCTTTGCTGCTTGACCCCCACGATACGGGACCGAGACGCTCGGAGCACGTTTCCGAATGGCTGCGGGCGCTCGGCTGGGTTCCCTCAGGCGTGGGGCTTGCGCGGTTCAGGGCTTTGCTCGCTGAGCCCACGTCCTTCAGTTGGTACAGCCCTCTCCCTGCCACGCGCTCCCGGCAGGGCTCCCCGCCACTTGGAGGTAAACTTCGCCCCAGCCCTGTTCTCCCAGAAAGGGGAGGAAGGCGGCCGTCCCTGTGCCGGGAGAGCACTGACGAGAACCTGCTGGTTGCCAGCAGAGGCACGGGAGCACCACCTTGTACATGGCAGCAGCACAGCCCTTGCTCTGGCCGCCTGTGCCCTGTTTTCCGCTTCTCTGTAACGACCGAAGTAATAAAACGAGCACCGCAACCAGCCTTCAACTCCTTCCCGCTCACGGAGTCTGCGTGGAGGGTGGGTTGTTACGACCCCGAGGAAAGGCCGGGCTGGCAGCTGGGACAAGGGTAGGCTCACGTTTTCCTTTCAGGCTGTAGGAGAGCAGCCGGGGGGCTCGTGCGAGGTGCAGCTCTGTTTTAAGGGTGTTTTTTCACTGACTGATGAAAGTCAGCCCTTGATTAGCCCGGAGAGGGGTTTCAGCACTGCCAGGGCTAAGAGCTGGGCAGAAAGCTGCGCCGGGCTGAAGCAGGATAAAACACACCAGAAAAGGGACTTGCGCTCAGAATAATAATAAATAGCTTTCCTACCAGGGAAACAGGGAAGCCCTGTTGCAACACCCTGAGAAGGTGAGCTAAGAGCTCTTCTACGGAGACAGGCCTGTGTCCCACGGGACATCGCCCTCCCGTCTCACACCAGTTTCCCAGCACTCCCATACTCCCTGGGGAAGGAGGACGTCCAAGTTACAGCAAGGATACTGCTCTGGATGTGCCGGGGTGAAGGTTCAGTGGGCAGTCCCTGGCCCCAGAGCCAACCCCGTGAGTGGAAAACGGCGATGGGATGTGCGCATCAGGCTTTGGCATGCAACCCGACTGCCGAGGAGCTCTGAACTCTCTGCAGGGGACTGCAAACGCAACCTCAATGTTCCGTCTTAATCTTGCTTCGGAGCAGGCCCTCGCAGCTTGGGAAGCTCTCCCCTGCCTAGGGCAGCCTCCTCCCTGCCATTACTCAGAGGTAATGATGGGTGCTTTCGCAGCCGTGGCGCTGACCCCGTGATGGGCTGTGGGCTAACAGGAAAGAGCAGATTCTTTCCCAAGACTCATGTCTTCGGTATCTTAATTGACAAAGCAGTAACAGGGTTTGTACTGGCTGCCACAGTCTGTTTCATCCTCAGGAACTGGAGGGACAGAGGGCAGTTACTGATTCCTGATGGGAAAACAACAGGCCCAGCAACACTGGATTGTTTTTAGCAACTTGCAAAACAGAGGCCAAGAGTCACATGCGCTGGAGCAGCTGTAGTTTGTCAATGGATAACTCCCTGGCCAGGGAAGCAGACTGACAGACCTTTTGGAGCGACAGCAAGAGCCCCAGAACGAGCCGTGGTGTGTTAGGGCACAGCAGGTTGCACCTGAGAAGCGCAGTGTACCGCTCCTCTCCTCGAGCGTCGCTCGGGCAGGTCGGCGCAGGCGGCCTGTCTGCTCCCGGCCCTGTTCGGTCTCAGCACTGAGCGGGGCTGGTGTGCTACGGTCCACGCGGCCACGTCGTGAGAGAGAAGGCTGCAAAGCCAGAGACTTGCTTTAAAACCTCTCCCCCCCCCTCCTTATTGTAAACCACTGGATAAGCCTAAGCAGCATCACGGAGGCAGGGTATCACACACAGGCCTTGGGCAGTTTCTTTACCATCTGGTCAAGAGCCGGGAAGCAACCGTGGAAGCTTAGGATCGTAGAATGGTCTGGGCTCAAGAGAAGGCTGCAAAGCCAGAGACTTTCTTTAAAAGCTCTTCCCCCCCCTCCTTATTGTAACCCACTGGATGAGTCTGGGCAGCATCACGGAGGCAGGGTATCTCACACGGGCCTTGGGCAGTTTGTTTACCATCTCGTCGGGAGCAGGGAAGCAAGTGGGGAAGCAAGCGTGGAAGCTTAGGATCGTAGAACGGTCTGGGCTCAAAGGGACCTTAAAGACCATCTAGTTCCAACCCCCCTGCCATGGGCAGGGACACCTTCCGCTAGACCAGGTTGCTCAAAGCAACCAGCTCCCGCAGCTGGTGACCAACTCTAGGACAGCATTTTCCCCTTAATGGGACCTTCCAGTTGACAGGATCATTGTGACAGAAGAGCCTTCTAGCCCAGCCCACACTTTGCTCACCAGCTGTTTGATGGAGAAATCCTAGAATCACTGAATTGTTTTGGTTGGAAAAGACCTTTAAGATTGAGTCCAACCGTTAACCCAGCACTGCTAAGTCCATCACTAAACCACGTGCCTGAACACTACATCAACTCATCTCTTAAACCCCTCCAGGGATAGTGACTCCACCACCTGACCACCCTTTCAGTGAGGAAGTTTTTCCCTCATATCCCATCTAAACCTCCCCTGGCACAACTTGAGCCCGTTTCCTCTCCTATTGCTTGTCACTTGAGAAGAGACCGACCCCCAGCTCTCTGCACAGAGCATGATAGCTCAGGACAGGCTCTCCCACCCCAGCCCTGCACCCCTCCCTGGCAGGGTGCCTGCGGGAGGGGTGGTCCCTTGTGGCCAGCAAGGCCAAGCGCTGCCTTAGGGTTCCCAAAAACACCCCGAGGAAGGGGCTCACAACAGCATGGGGGTCCCATCACACCCCCTCAAGCAGTGGGCTGTGCCCCCCCTGGCAGTTTAACACCCTTCTCATTCCGCTCCCAAAGCCACGCTTACACCCGGTAAGCGCATCCTTCTCGACCGCTCCCTGCGCGGCACAGAGTTGTTACTCCTGGGAGTAACGGAAGCAGAGGAGACCCCAGGCCCAGCTGGGGCAGCAGGACAGCGAAGGTGTTGGTGAAATAACTTTATTTAGTGTGATACACGGCTGTGGTCAGACAGTCCATACTCATAGTAATAGTCACACTTACTCGGCTAACAGCTAGGAGACAGCAGGGCCAGACACACACTCAGTATTACAGACATCCATAAAGACAGCGGGAAGTGAACTATTTTATTTCACTAGTTACCCCCCCAACCCCCCATTACTTAGGGTCTCCCCCCTCCCTCCC